AAGTATTTGGTCTGCCAGACCTGCAGTCACATGCCGCCTGTAATCCAAGAATTTGGGAGATGGAGGCAGGAAGATTGTAACGATCAGCTTAGGTCTGGTCTACACAGGGCTACAAAGTGAGACTCTGCCCCCCACTCACCAAAAAATAAATAAAAAAAAAATGTGCAGTGGAAAAAGATTCACACAAGTTCTACCAAAGATGCTTAGAAAAGTTTCCTAACGTGCAAATTGGATTTTTATTCACAAATTAAACTCATATAAACCGCAGCTCATTCTCACTAACCATATTGCAAGTATTCAGTAGCACAGCCTTTCAGGCCATGGACCCACACTACTCTCAACCAGCCACTAGGAGGCTGAGGTAGATGGACCTTTTGAGCCCGGAAGTTCATAGTCAACCCGGGCAACAGAGTGAGACCTCATCTCTCCAATAACCTTTTGGGCTTCATCCCCACCTCCACCAGCCTACAACAGGAAAATGAGCTAGCTTGCCTCCTACCCCAGCAAACAGCATCCCCAAGCTCGCAGTCTGCTTCCTAAGGGAGTCTGTCATCCTTCCCCATTCACCGGTGCCCCGTGGAGGACCCTGATGGACCGCGCCCCTCTCATGCACCTGCTCTTGCTGCTGTTGCGCTATCAGCGCCTTCCTCCGTTCCAAAGCCATCTGCCGACGCCGAGCCTCCCAGTGGTAGGCACTACCCATGATGCTGTGATGATAGAAAAAGCTCGGCAGGGTATGAGGGCCAGGAAGAGCCGCCCAAGAGGATGCCAGGGCTCTCAGACTCCTCTGTTGCCTCCCACCCCAGCCACACTGACTGTTAGCCGGACCACCTCACAATGTGGTCACTGCCAGGGCAACTGGGCAGCCCCCCCCCCCGAAGTGTTGGAGGTTGAGGTAAAAGGCTCATGGGGAGCTCCTGTCGGTCCTCCAGAGTCCTGAGGAGGAAAAAGACGCAGCCCCCCAGTCCGGGCTTTCAGTGGATCCTGGAGACAATCTGGCAATACAACTTGCTCATTTTTCTCTTCCAGTGCCTTCCTCCAACCCTTGCCAAGGGGTTTCCTGACCCTCCGCTGGCCCCTCCCTCCTCACAAGCTGTTTGGGATTACCTTTCGAGAACTCTTCCACCTCCCGTCTCTCACTGCTCTTCCCGGAATCGTTTGCATCGAGTCAAACATAAAACACAAAACCCAGCTGAGCCACACTGTGGAGGGCTGGGGGTGGGAAGCAGTCCCTGGATCTGGGATAGCCAGTCCATTCTAAGTCGTGAGATCAGCTTGAGTTTTAGTGGGAGATGCAAGCTTTACCCTGGCTGTGTCACTCCGTGTCTCGGAGCCCAGCACTGTAAAGGATGCTGGTACGCTTAAGCGCCCGCTTCAAAGTGGGCGCCTTCAAAGTGGGCGCTCAGCCATGAAAAGCTGGAAGAACTGTCCCAATTCTGATGTGGGACAGGAGGGTTGCTTTGTCTGGCTGGATCTTTCTCCTTCTCTCAGCCCCCAGGGGAGTCATCTACATCTCTGGCTACTTCAAAACAATAGGATAGAATAGCCAAAAACGAGAGGCATCACTGACTTCTTTTTTTTTTTTAATTTTATTTATTATTATTATTTTTGGTTTTTCGAGACAGGGTTTCTCTGTGGTTTTGGAGCCTGTCCTGGAACTAGCTCTTGTAGACCAGGCTGGTCTCGAACTCACAGAGATCCGCCTGCCTCTGCCTCTGCCTTTGCCTCCCAAGGGCTGTGATTAAAGGCGTGCGTCACCACTGCCTGGCTGCGTCACTGACTTCTAAAAAACATGGTGCTACTCAAACTCAAACTATCACTTATCTATTTCCCTAGTCCTCTTTTTACCGTTTGAAAAATTTTCGTTATTATTTATTTTGGTGTGTTTGATCCCGGCTTTCTCTGTGTAGCCTTGACTGTCCTGGAACTTGTTCTATCGACCAGGCTGGCCTCCTGCTAGATCTGCCTGCCTTTGTTCTGGGGTACCACCACTGCCTGGCTTTTTTTTTTTTTAAGGTTTATTTATTTATGGGGCTGGAGAGATGACCCAGTGGTTGAGAGCATTGGCTACTCTTCCAGAGGACCTGGATTCAATTCCCAGCACCCATATGGCAGCTCACACCTGTCTGTAACTCCAGTTCCAGGAGATCTGATGCCAGTGCACATAAAATAAAGTGAAATAAATCTTTAAAAAATAAAAAAAGATTTATTTATTTATTAGGTACAGTGTTCTGCCTGCATGTATGTCTGCACACCAGAAGAGGGAACCAATTCCACTATAGATGGTTGCAAGCCTCCATGTTGTTGATGGGAATTGAACACAGGACCTCTGGAAGAGCTACCAGTGTGCTTAATCTCTGAGCCCTCTCCAGCGCCTTACCCGGCTTGTTTTTTGTTTGTTTGTTTGTTTACCATTTTTTAAAAAGTTTAAGATAAGTTCTCACTTACTTATCAGGCTGATCTTGAACTTAAGACCCTCCTGCCACCTCAGCCTCTCAAGGAGTTGAATTACGAGTTTGTGCCACCAACCCCAGCTGGGACATTGCCTTCACAAGCATGTTTATCTTGGTATAAACTGACTCTGAAAGGTGGGGCATGACTGTTCATGTGTATAATCCCAGAATCTGAGGAGCTAAGGCAAGAATGCTACAAAGTCTAGGCCAGCCTGAGCTACTGGGTGAAAGCCTGCCTCAAAATGAAGTGGCAACATTTCTATGGACAATGGTGAGAAGGATGCGGAAGGCCCTTCCACCTCTCTTCCTTACAGGGCACAGCAGGAAGCGAGTTCCCTTTGCCCTTCCCCTTCTCTCACTTCCCTTTTTATCTTCAGCCCCTCCCCTGAAGGAACAGAGAGAATCATAAAATGGAGGAGACAGAAGAGCGGTACGCCGGAATTCAGGGAAATGGTTTCCAAATCTCTAAGTCAGTGTTATGTGGGAGGAAAGATTCTCAGAGTGACTGTCAAAACTGTCCTACCTGGTCATCTCTCTCCCAGGCCCCCTCCTGCCTCCCTTGTGTGCACTGCCTCTCCCAAACCCTCTACTGATCTCTCTCCTTCTCCACGTCCCCTCCACCTTGTATCATCCTATATGGCCCTCAGGAAACCTCCGGTGATGTCAGTGTAGAACCACTTAAACAGTGCTTTTTTTTTTTTTTTTGGCTACAGGGTCTCTTGGCCACCTCCAACTTTTGATATAGCAGAGGCTGACCTTGAACTCTTAATCCTCCTGATAGTACCTTCTAAGTGCTGGGATTACAAATGTGCACTGCTCTGTCCAACTGTTGTTAGTTTAGTTTTTGTTTTTAAAGATTATTTATTATGTATAGTGTTCTGCCTGCACGTATGCCTGCAGGCCAGAAGAGGGCACCAGATCTCGTTACAGATAGCTGTGATCGATCCATCATGCGGTTGCTAGGAATTGAACTCAGGACCTCTGGAAGAACAGCCAGTGCTTTTAACTGCTGAGCCATCTCTCCAGCCCCATGTTTAGTTTTTTGTTTGTTCAATTGTATGTGTGTGAAGAAACTGCAGGTGCCCTCAAGTCAAAGGCAGTGATCCTCCAGAATTGGAATTACAGGTGTTTGTGAGCTGTTCTGTGCATGCTGGGACTTGAACTTAGGTCTTCTGGAAGAGTAGTAAGTACTCTTAACCACTGATCCATCTCTTTAGCACCCATAGTTTAGGGGTTTTATTTTGATTGGTTTGGCTTGGTTTTCTTTTTCCTTTTTTTTAAAAATACTTATTTATTATGTATACAATATTCTGTGTGTATGTCTGCAGGCCACCCAGAAGAGGACACCAGATCTCATCATAGATGGTTGTGAGCCACCATGTGGTTGCTGGGAATTGAACTCAGGACCTCTGGAAGAAGAGTCAGTGCTCTTAATCGCTGAGCCATCTCTCCAGCCCCTTCTTACAAGTTCTTATAACTTACATTAGTCCATATTTCTTATCTGTGGCCTACAACATGGCAGTACCTTTTTCCAGCATGGCATGGTCATCTCTTGCTTCATCTGCAACATACACACATACAAGAGAGAGAGAGAGACA